TGCTTTTTCAAGGTGCATTTTCGATGGATTACAAATACCGCCTTCGCCACAGCCGTTTGCCTTCCATGGTGTCGTGACGAAACAACATCAAACGGCTAAATGCTAGAAACTTATTCGAATTACCGTAATTTTAAACTGCGATAACAACAACAGCAGCATCGTATGTGGAATTTATGGTTATGAAATATTACTGGCAACATGCCAAACATACCGGCTAATAAAATACAATGCAGTGGTAATCAACTTTAATAAACAGTCACTCAGCTTTGATGACCGCTTATCCTTTTAGTAGCGAAGACAGACGCATCAGGCAATGTGTCCAACCTTCCAGAACGCGTGCCAACGTTTGAGAGGCAGCAGAGGATATCCCGAACCTAGAACAGAGTAATTTGACACCTTGTCCAAGGTCTTCGGCCATTCAAATGGGCAGGCATTACCTGTTTCGCATTCCTTCCTGAAAACATTGGCATGACATACCAAAACCAACGCAGCTGGGACTATCCAACGTCGGCAAGCAGCGGTCGTAGAGCAGGGCTCTTGGATATCTGTGCTCTGGAACTGCGTCGAGACGCGTTAGCCGAACAATTCGTCACAAAAAGCCAATTTCGTCCGCTTGTATCCGGGATCGAAGATTTCAGCCGTGGTTCACGAATGATGACCGTCGGTGAGCATTGGGAGAGGATCGACTTAAACACGGAGAACTTGGTTTTCAGACTCAGCTCTGTATTATTCAAAACGGTTAAAATTAGTTCACGCAGAACGTCATTGGCTACTCCAATCTGCCAGATGATCTCCTGAAATTTTCCATCAGAAGTAAACATGACCCTGAGGTGAGAAGATGTTCCATTTTTTTGACTGTGAGCTCCCTCTGTCAGAATCGTTCCTGTGGAATCTTATCTGATGGGTCATAATTACATTGCGCTATCTGCCTTCTTCCTCACTTCTGAACTCCAGATGCTGACCGGTATCGGCGTCGTCATGTCGATTTCCGGCAGCCGTAGCCGTGATGTTACGCCCGCAGTTGTCAGCAGGCACTAAGCATACTCTGATCGCCGACTTTTTGCACTACGCTTCGGTTCCCCTACAACATGTGCTACTGTTGGCAACCCGGGGGAACGACCGGTGAGGTAAACCGTTCGATAACAGCTATACCTAGAGGCACAGATGGCTAAATTTCACCGGACACCTGGCCACGATCCTGAATGGTCCGCTTTTCTCTTCCGGGTTTCAGACAGACAACGACGCAGTTTACTTTTAATAATTCAGCAGCATATAATAAGCAGCACGGCGCTGTTATCACTTCCTGTGAATCAGCAAAACAATGATCAATGTCTGATTAGTTGATAACATGTGATTTTTTCTGTCACTGTCAACAGGCAGGAGACGCTTCATACGTTTAAAAATTTAACTAACGCATTTGCCAAGTGCCTAATCAGTAGTTGAGCACAGCTGAACCTACGCATGAAAAAGCCTTGGAAAGCAGTGTGATAAAGCCGCTACTGAAGCATCAAAATCTGGAAAACGAAGATCGATGACGATTATGTGCTGGTTAGCGGCTTGGTGACAAGTGATCGTCTAGACTGGAGGTTATTTTAGCTTGGGCCTTGTCATAACAAGGTGCTGCGTCAGCCGTTTGCTAGTCGTCCCTCCTGTACCTTCAATGACGTTGCTGATGGTGACATGCCTTTTTTTGGCATTTCTGCCATTCCTCCATGGCTTCAACGTACTACAGATTGGCATCGGTCTGAGCAATAGTCATATCATGTTCAATTACCGCATCGCGCAAACGCTGACCGGCCACGGCCATAACGTGACGCTGCTGATGGTGAACAAAATCCCGTCTTGGATCAGGCAGTGCCCGAACGTTCACCACATAGAACAACCAGTATCGAAAGATATTATCCCACAGATGAACGTCATTCAGCATATAGCTTTCCAGAAAACCGATTATGTTGCCATGATCAGGAGTCAGCGGCTGATAAATAGATTTGTCATCGAACGCTGCTTGGCGGTGCTCAATGATCCTGACCACAAACACTATATAACCCAGATTCGTTATGATGTAGTCATTGGTGAGAGCTTCGACCTATGCATCCACGCACTGTATTCAGCTACGAGCAGTCATAAGTTTATAGCCGTCGTTGCGGGAGCGTATGTACTGCCGTTCACGAGTCTGGCGACCGGCGTTCCAGACAATCCAAGTTTTATCCCTCAGATGATGACAACATACAGCGATCAGATGTCGTTCGTCGCACGGCTGATAAACTTCGCGATTGGCTCCATCGGCAAGCTGTTTCTTCGAATCTCGTTGTTCAAATATGAGTGGAAAATTGTTCGAGACTTTTCCAGCTGCGTCGACGATGCGTGTTCATCATTCCTGAAAAGAACCTCAGCTCTGATGCTCAATGGAAATGGCCCAATGGACTTTCCACGACCGTTGGTTCCGCAAATGTTCTACATGAGTGACCTGGAAATAAAACGTGAGGTGGTGCTAAGTAAGGTACGATGCTCTTGCTGTAGTTTTTCGTAAAAGGAGCACTCTTAAATTTTCAATGAGTGTCTTTTCAAATCACATTCCCTAAAAAATTGCTTCATTATACCCTGCCTATGTTACGAACCTTTTCAAACAAAATAGCAGGCAATAGGCTGTTTAATATAGGTTCGTTGGTTGCATTATTCGCTTTTGAATGTTTGCAGTTTGAACAGCGTACAAAAAATCCACTTAGCGCGGAAAATATTTTTGGCTGTTATAATGCTATTCTCCCATTTATTATTATGCTTGAAGTCATTTCAAGAAAGTTTGTGACAACCTACCTCTAAATTGCTTATCGTTCAATGCTAATTTCCTTATTGGTACTTCATTCAGAGTCTACTGTTTTAAAGGCAGCATCGAATTGAAGGAGTAATTGAAAGAGTAGAGCATCTTGTTTCCATTTCAGTTATAGTGAGACAGTGAAAGTTATTTTACATCGAAAAGTTGAGAGTTACCCCTGCAAGAATTCGAACGCCAGTGAGGCAATTCTTGATGAATAAATGGTGAGTTTATAGCCTCTGAAGTATTAATCTTCCTTACACTTTCTTAACGGAGTTATTCTGACGCCATTCTTTTCATGACGTTAATGATGGGGTGCCGGACTCTATTTCCATATCATCAGCCAAGGGGGCCTTATTTAAAGGTCGTAGTGGACAGCAACGTTGTGATAAGTATTTTCCACTGTTTCCGTCTCATGGACTGCTAGTTATTTCTTGGCCTTGGATAGAAGAAAGCTGAATGGCGCCCACCGGGATTCGAACTCAGGTCCTCTCGGCTTTGAGTCTAGCGCACAACCGACGAGCAGCCCAGGTATGAAGCACTGTTTAGTAAAATCTTTCCTCAATGGAATTCGTGACTGAGACAGAGATTATTTTATGGCGGAGTCAAACATTCCATCTCCAGAGTTCGAAGCCTACCTTTTAAGTATTGCGCCACCACGCCGTTTCTTAACGAACGACAGCACCGTAGGAAATGATTTAATGGACGCTAAGCGGAACGTGGCAACCTCAGTGTACAAACTGTTTCATGGCACAACTAAGTCAAGAGTTCAGGTTTAATGTGCATTCGAACGCCATCTGTCGAGCAACTGCTTTTTGTCAAGTAAACATGCGGACATCAGTGACATGCGGATAAAAATTAGTCGTCAGTAGACAGAACCAATAAAGTCTCAAATCGCCAGAATTTAAGCGCATCGTGCGGCTCTTCGTACTGTAAACAGTAGTTCCACAGTTTCAAGCCAGTTTCAATCACGTAAACTGTTATGGTACAGTATTCTTTCAAAGTATCTAGCTTTTCTAAAGCCGGTTTCACACGCATATCCCACCTCCTTGTTCCAAGATACTTAAAATGTCATTTAAATAGATCACTGGTCCATTTTATTTGTATATCTGCGGTGTCAGTTACATTGCACATAACGTTTTCGGCTTCAGCGGTAAGTCGCTCATTACCAATGACGATGCAAGAGGTGCTACTCCTTATGCAACATATCGGTTTGGGTTCA